TCAGTGAGTTTTACCTACCTCCCAGGGCTTTCCCTCAGATCGCATTTCCATGTCTCGTTTATGAGAATGTCACACAGGGCAACACCGGAGGCTTTGCTGAAGATGTATCACATCCACTGCTTCCTCTTCCTCCACTAGACCAATTACCTTGGCAAGGAGGGAAATTAGATTGCCTTGACATGAATTGTTCTTGATAAAATTGTGCTGTTGTTTTTTTCTTTATACCACATGGTTGTCCTCTAGGTGTTTACAAGTGGATTGTTCAATAATTTGTTCCATTTTTTTCCAGGAACTGAAGCTGGGCTGTTTGGTCTCTAACTCCCCAGCTCCTCTAGCCCCTTGTTTTTACAGAGAAATGTTATATTTATTTTCTACACTTCTCTGGCACTTCTTGAGCCTTTAAAACTTATCAGAAACTAGTGTTAATAGTTCAGAGATGGCCTAGATTTTCCAGGGCCACTTTTCCAGAACCCTGATTGCTAAAATACACCTAACTTATCTCAGTATCATATAACTCTTTCTTTCCCATGTTGGCCTAATCTCCTGTCTCCTAGCTAAACACCCTAGGTGCTGACCACAACCTTATGCAGTGAAACCCATGGTGAGGAAAGCACTGGCTGCTTCAGACCTTTCCATGTCATCTCTTTGCTTCCTCTCTCCGTTACAAGTAATCAGTGTAGACTCTTTTCTTTCCATTATAATGTATTTCTAAAACTTCTTTTGTTATTTCTGTGCTCCTTGCTGGTGAATTATTATTCACATTGCTCCTTAGTCTTGCTCATTCTATCTCTATGTGTTTGAAATATCCCTCTACGCTCATCTTTATATTCTCATTTCCACTTTTTACAGGACTCCTTTTGGATTTCCAGGACTCTAAAGTGCTCTTGAAGCAGCAATATTGGTCTTTTTCGGAGGTTCTATTCTTTCTCTGCATCTGGGTGCTTTGCTGCTGTGCCCCTAACATATTTGCCTTTAGTAACTTCCTGCATGCCTGTACTTCTTTATTTTTTATTTTCTTAGGACATTTTCCCAAAGGGCTCTTGCTGATGGTGAAACATCCCCATGAGTTAAGCTTGTGTTTGTACAGCCAACTGTCTCTCTCTTTTTTTTTTTTTTTTATGGGTATGCTCTTTTTAATGTCAAAACAAATGACCAACATTGTTTGTGATCACTGTCACTCACATGATGGCACTTCCTTGGATTCCCAACCACTTGTCCCATATTGGTCAGAATCAAGACTACAGTCTTCATCAGATGCCGGGCCTCATCCTGAATTCCAGTACTTTATGGCAGAAAAAGAAAAAGGAAAGGAAAGTTCCAAAAGTTGTCTGGATAGTCTATGTCCTGCTGTATTTATTTTTCCAATAGAATGTCAAAATGAAATGGTTTAGATATAAAAAGTTGCTATTTATTTAGCCAACTGCTTGCTGAATGAGACCTTAACTTGAGAATAATTGCAGTTAAAATGAAGCTATATTTTTGATGAATAAATTGTTCTTCTTTCAAATGTGCTCAATTTGAGGTTTAGTGCCATGATAAATCTTCACTGACTTCTGTTCATGAGAGAAACAGCAGAAAAAGGATAGAATGTGCCCAGCCCTGGTTTGGGACAGATGGTCCATCATGCAGAAAGAGCTCTTGCTACCCTGCACTGAGGGAGCAAGCAGGGACCCGGCAGGAGAAAATGCCTCATTGGACCTCACAAATGCTGCATGCGACTTACAGAAGAAGGCATGGACATCCCAGCAGTTCTCAGCAGTTTGATTGGGCTGAAGCTTCCTGAGCTTCTACCTGGTTACTCATTAACCCTGAGTGCAGGAGTGAGACCTTCCAGCAGGCAGCTCTGAAGTCTCACCATCCCTCTTGATACACAGGCATCCTTTTTCCATGGGATGATGCACAGTATGGAAGTGTGATGGGAAGGGGCAGGTTGGCGGTGCAAGATAAATAGGTCAATGGCCACTTATCACCTATATTTAAAATGCACCCAAAATGGCATTTGCGTTCTCCATCTAGAGAACATCTGGATCCTGTCTGTTTATCTTCACACCTCCTTCCCTCCCACACTATGGGAGGGACTTGGCACTCTCTTTTCCTCCACGAGAGCCAGCAGTGCAAGTCCTGCCTTCCTTCCCACCCATCTGGGTCTGAGACGAGAGTGGGGTCTCATGGTCCATTGGGGCCAGGCATGGGGCTCTTTTGGGATATGTACTTGGGTACTGGTGCCCCATTTCTGCACACGAACCAAACGCTGAACCCAACTAAGACCATGTTGGGTGAAAATCCTCAGAGATGCCAAGGGTTGGGTCCCATTACTGACTTCAGACCATAGCAGAGCTGAGTGGGTGCATCTCAGGGGTTCTTGTGTGAGCTGAGCTGCAAGGGCTGCCCAAACCTGCAATTGCAAAGGCTGCGGATGGGAGGGCCACACGTCACAGATGTGACCTCAAAAGGAGACTGCTAAGCTGCTCTGCTTTCGGAGAAGCTTAGCACTTAAAGCTGATTTCAACAGCTTTTGCCTAAAGTTTTAAGACCCGTCACTAATCAGCAGCTGGTTTATGGCTGTTGTAAAAGATCAGAAAAAATAAAGAAATCTTCCAAAGTTGAGGGGGAGCATTTCCCAGCTCCTGCATACATCACCTGCAGTGCTGACATTTACGAGCTCAGGGAGCCATAAATCCACGCGGGGCAGGCACCAGCCCCGGACTCTGTGCCGAAGGGGAAGTGGTGTGTCTGACTCCATGTCTTGCCCTGGGAAAAACTTTATTAATGCTTTGCATTGCGTGCTGGACACATCCCAGCCTGTTTCAGCTTGGATTCCCTTTGGGCTGAATTTCTGCTCGGCCCCATCGTGCTGAACCCCATCGCGCCTCTGTTGGATGGGAGAGCTGCGTGTTTTGCTTAGAGGAAAGGCAGGCAGGGCACATTCTGCTGTGATTTCTGCTCAGCTCCTGCCTTCCCACCGTGGTGGCACATTTCTGAGAATGATCATAAGGTTTCCTGAGAAGTCCTGGTACAAATCGTGTCTCTTCTTGGACTCTGAGCTCTTGCATAGGCTCAGCTGACTAAGGGAGAGAGAAATATGGTCCAGTACGGATGGCTGGGTTCGGTGTGGTTTCTTTTCCCTTTCACAAGTACCCTTCGTGGTGTAAGGCTGGGTGCCAATCCAGCAGACCAAATGGCTTAATCCCCATCCTAGTGAGCACAAGCAAAGCAAAGAGCCCACCCAACCACCAATTTGTGCCCTGTGGCCATTGGAAGTGACCCAGGCCATGTTCTCACCCAGCCACCAGCCCTGTGGCAGATCAGCTTCAAGTGCAAGACCTTGCTACGGCCCGTTGTAAAATATTCCCCTTATAAACCTAAGTAAACTATGCCTGTGTCTAGGGGGAGAGGCCTGAAACTTCCCCAGCTACAGCATTTGCTCCAATTACACATAAATTGACATCTTGTGAGAGAGCTGTCCAGGATACTGAGTAATTATAGCTCCTACTGTATCACGGAGGGATGTAGGCAAAGCATCTCTCTTACAAATCATTCCAGAGACCTTGCAGATTAAATCCCTTTCTTCCCTCCCCTCCTCCGCCCGTAAAGGGCTGAATTTGTGTTGTAAACAGTAAAAATAGCAAGAGCTGTTATTAACTAGGATGTACCACAACTGCTGACTCCAATGCAAAAGGCATCTCCATATGGTCATTACAGTGGAAGGACAAAAACAATATTTTATGTTTCTCACAGTTATTGTTCATCAAATGTTTATGAAAATTCGTAATTATGGTGTATGAGGAGCTTGTTGTTCAATAAAGGGAATGAGACAAGAATCCATGTGAATATCCAACCCCAATGATAAAGACCATTAAATTAATAGCTTAATTATATCCTCAATTTCAGAACACATTTTAAATTCATTTTATTTTTATTTAACCTAACAACATGTTTATCTGCCACTCTTTTAGGGCTCTGTACATTAACCCACAGCAGTGGCTATGAGAGAGGTTTGCTGTGTTGGAAGCTTCCCTGGATCTCACTTTCTAATTTTATTGCTCTCCTGGAGGCTGTCGAGGTCCTGTGGCTGTTCAGTACCCGTGAGGCCATGGGAGGGTGACATACAGACAGGCGGCAGCACCAATCCCATCTCTCAGAGACACTGACTGCATGACGATACCAACCCCCTTGGCCAGGATCCATGGGGATTATTCTCTTACGTATTCTGAGGTGCCTTCCTGCCATTTCAGGAGCACGTGTTGACTATACAAGTTACATTCAATAGTGCATTTTTCAAGCAAGTGAGCAATTACTGTTCATTAACTTCACTTCCTCGCCGTGCAACTGTCCGACTTCATGTAAAGTACATTATCGCACTTCTGTGCAGCAGTGATCCTCTCTAATGAGTCCATGCCTGGATCCTGCAGCCAAGTACTGTGTTGCTACTTCAATAAGGATGTTGACAAACTGGAAGAAGTTCAGAAAGGAGCTACAGGACACACAGAGGGCTGGAAAACCTGTCTCACCTGGGGAACAAAGGGAGCTCCATCTGCTCAGCTTAAAGAGAAGGTTACAAGGTGAGTCGCCTGCAGTTTGTGTGTCCTTATGTTGGGACACCAGTTCTGATAAGTGATAGGTATTCATATGATCAGGAAAGCATACAAAAAAGAGCTAGTGATGGAAACAGACCTTAGAAAGTGTAAGACTGGAAATGAAAGCAAATATGAGCAGCTCAATTAAGGAGCTGTCAGATTGGCATCACTGACACACTTTTATTTGGGAACTGTCAGTGAGTCCTGGGTCTCCCTGCTGTTACATCTGTGTTATGAGACCAGTGGGGAAAGATTGTGGTGGTTAGCTTGAGGTGGCACCACTCATTGCTGTGGCTCTTCTTTGACCTTTCTGTCCATCACCTGCTTCCATGTTGTCCTCACACCCCATCTGTCTCATATTCTCCTGCACATCCTCCACAACCCCGAATGAAGCCCCAGCCTTTGCTTGCCACCTCAGCCTACCTTCCGACCTCGGCCTGTTTCTCCACGTAAATCTCCTTCATGTTGGAGTGGGGCTGGCAGTGGCTCTCTGCATGGTGGTGCTTGCTCCCCAGCCTGAGGAAACCATAGGAATTAATTATGTAGCAGCTTGGGAAGAATAGTAGTATGGGATTAAGAGCCTCTCATCTCTGTCCTCTTGTGCCCAGGGACTCAGGATTCAGCCTCTGGCTGCTGCTTGCTGCAGACCCCGGTCCAGAGCACTCCCTGAGGCAGGAATCCATGAGGTGTCTTCAGGGACTCACAACACAGCTTCAGAAGATGCTACTTCATGCTCAGATGCTGACACCTGTCCAGGGGATACCTCATCTCCTCCAACATTTGAGTGAAGCGTTACCGGAGAAAGGAGACTTTTCTTCTGCGCAAAACAGGCTGGCACATGGCGTGGTGTTGACCAGTAGGTCTTTGGGACGCAGGCGCAGAAACGTGTGCTGTCATCTGAACATGGTGGGAATGGCTGTGGGAGCTACATGATGTCTGTGCCCCAAGCACCAATATCTCTGCTCCTTCTGTACCCTGGCTCAGTGTCTTCTCTGCTTTTATGGGCACTACAGTAGTCCTCGCTTTGTTTTAATGGAGGCTTCTTATGGTATAATATCGTTAAATACAGGTGCAACTTGTGTTCTCTAAAGCCATAATGCCCCCTCCTGTTACTGCCTTACAATTAGCTGGGCTATAAAGCTTTCAAACATATTGCAAACACTAATTCAACTGGATAGTGAAGAAACATGGTTTTATTGGGCTATTACAATGCTTGGAACATGGTCCAATCTGTGCTTTCTCTCCCCAGTAGACACAGGGGCTACCAGGCCATGCCACTAAAAGAGATTCAGATGCAGTATCAAATTAATTGTGTCTCCAGGCTGGAGATATGTTTTTATTTACATCTTAATAAAAGCCGTCTGGGAGTGATGTTGGAGCTCACGGAAGCACAGAGCACAGCACGCTGGCTAGCTGCAGATCAGAGCTGGACCAGCTCCTTCCATCTCCTTTTTGGGCCACCCTCACCACTCGTAGCCATCACTGACCACTCTGCTAATGCCCATCTGCTTGCTCTGCAGCTCCCAGTTTAGTGTCACATGCCTGGCCCATGCCTCCACCCTCTGTATTCAGCCCACACTTGTTGCTTTGGTCTCCAGAGAGCTCTGTGGCTCTTCTTTGGAGAATCTCTCCAATCCTATGCTACTCCTGCATGCTACGCATGATAGGATGGTTCAAGGCGAGGGGTGGAAGAAGCGCTTCTCTATCACATGTTGCAGTTCTGCTGGTCCAGCCACCCAAGGAATAGCCGAAACCAGGTCTCCCTCATGCACAAGAGACCCTCCAGCTTCCCTCCAGGGTTGCCTTTTGGAAAACCTGGTCAACTGATGGCTGCTCAGAAGGCCTGGAAGTCAAGACATTCAATGCTGAGGAAAAGGGAAGGAATCTGGGTATGTCTTTGTCCTCAAAAGCTTCTTGTGGCCAACCTGCTCTTTCTCTGGTCAGCGCTGGAGGCCAGACACAGGAATCACCGAAGCAAGTGACACAGTCAGGAGTCAGCAGGAGGTGGCTGCTGTGCTGGGGGCTAGTGCTGGGGCTGCCACGCTGGCCAAGCACAAATGACTTCAGCAAGCAGCAGGACATGAGCAAGGCACTGGATCTGGGAAATCTTTTAGGGTTAATGAGCACACTGCTGAAAAAGCTGAAATAAAACACTCTTTCTGATCACACTGATAATACAGAGCCCGGATGAGGAGAAAGATTTTCTTCATTTCTGTTTATTTCTCTCCTTTTTTGGAAACGGACAAAATTTGTCTTAAAGGAAAATGGTTTTCAGCTGTAAGAGAAGAACTTTGTATCCCTGTTTATCCCCAATATGACTACTCCTTTTGCAGTATTACCTTCAAGAAACACTTTCTCATTTGTAAGTTGCTCTCTGGAGAGGAAGGTCATATCCTTCACGAATGGAAAAAAACTAATTAGAGAAGTAATTCAGCAGCTGCCTGATAGGTCAGATATCAGAAATAAATACACAGGTTTGCGCATTGTTATGATGATGGCATTTGCTTCTTTAGCTCATTGTAAAGAAAATGTGTTCATTTTATCACCTGCTGGTGGAGCAGAGGGTATGTAGCTACAAAGAGTGTTTAGCACAAGCTGCTCACAGCCTGGAAGCGTTTCGTCCACAGTTCCTGTGAATAAGTTCAGCCTCCTCTCTGCAGGCATGAAGGAGACTGTCACATGGCACGCAGAGGTGGCCAGAAAAATCTGCTTGAAAAAGGATGTTCGTGATATGCTTGCTTGCGTCCTTGAAAATAAAACAAAACAAAACAAACAAAACGAACAAAAACCAGAATGAAGCCCCACCTTCCCAGGGCTGCTCCTGCCTCAGATCACTTGCAACAGCTCTGCCCCCAACTGACTCCATCTCCCAGACATGTCAGCCAGGCCACACACTGCTGAAACATTCCCATCTTGAGGGTTCTGGGGGAAGGAGAATTACATTTTATTTCCTTTTGCCTGACTTTTGCATCAAGTGCACCATGTGCCTCCTGGGAGCTATAATTCCCTTTGCAGGATTTGGCTTCTCTGTTTGGAGGATTGGGCTTCAAACTGGAATTTCATTTCCCCCATGAATGCCACGAGGAGACTGAGGTGAGGGCAGGCACTTTCTCTCCCACAACACAGTTGGGAAATGCCCGCTGTGCTGTGCTTTGTGCTGAGCAAAACACCAGCAGGAGGGGCTGGGCATGCCTTGAGCATTGGCTTAGACTGAATTGAGGTGACCTGGATCCTCCAGATCTTCCAGATCCAGAACATTGATATGTGCTGGGTTTAGACACTTCCCAGGCAAGGCACTGTTGGGCAGCGCCTCTTGACGTCCTTTTGCACACCCCTAACTCCAGCAGGATTCGTTGGCACCTCATTTGTTGTCCTTAAATGCTCTCTGCCTGAATGTGCTTATCTTGGAGAGGGCTGAGAAGGCTTGTGAAGCTGGCATCGCTCTTTGGAGGCTCATTAGTGGTTTTGTGGTGTCTGAGGTCTGACTAAAGGCTCAGTGCAAGAGCAGAGGATGCTGCACCGCTCTGAGATGGAGCAGCATCTCCTGGGGCAACACCCTGTGAGTGGTGGGAGATGATGGCCATCCACTGCAGGCTCCAGAAGGAGCGAGTGTGGTGGGGTCTGCTGAGGGGCACTCATGCTTAGAGCTATTTACTGCTTGCAAACAAGCCACAGCCTAAGAATTGTTCACAGGAATGACTCCCAAGTAACAAACTCATTCAAAAAAGCTGCAATCTGCCTGTGGCTAATTCAAGAACAGAAGAGAGGATGGCTGGTGCATGTGATGAATTATTCACACAGTGCTGGGGAGGGTGCATGAGGCCCATGGTGTAGGAGCGTGATGTATGCATGTCTTGGACTTTATATCCTCAACTAGGGCATAGCCTGAACCCATTCCACGTGTAGGAGCAAGTTCTTCTCCTTGATGTTTTGATAGGAAGAAGCAAGTGAAACGCTTGTCTGTCAAAGCCAGATCTTGGGCATCAAGGTACCTGTGCATTGCATGAATTATTGTGTATATGTTCCTGTGCATTAGCATGAATATTACAATGCAGCTGGCAAGGAGGTTGCACTCTGGTTTGTAGCTAGATGTGTGTATTAGATGCTACTGAACTGGGAAATAAAATATCCTACCAGGACATGTGGGTGTGCTTAAGTCTCAACAGGTTTTTAGTGGCTCTGGGTTAAACTTCATTGATGTACGTGACCTGCACCAAAGTGCCTAAGTGGAGCTCTAGAGCTCTATGAGAGAGAAGGAGCAGAAGAAAGTGAGAAAACAGAAAGTGCAGGAGGGCAAATGCGGAAGTGACACTAGATTGAGAAGTTTAAGATGATGGTGGCGCTGAGGATAGAGGTGAGGAAGGAATGGGAGGAACTCACAGGTCCAGCTCCAGCTTGCTCAGTGCTTTGGGTATCCTCTTCCTGCAAAGTCTCCTTCTGCTCTTGAAAAGGCTGAAGGGTGTTTCTGTGCTCCCAAGCCATCATGGCAGTTTTTGCCTGGGGGAAGCTCTGTGCTCCTGCTGTGGTAAGATAGATTTGGTCCTTCCAGTTCTTTGTGATGGGTAAAGCCAGTTGGCATCGCAGAATTCCAGGAGAAGAATTTCTATTAACCTGTCCAGTGTCTCTGAGAGAAGGTACTGACCCTGCTCTTTGTTACGGCTTTGTAATTTAATTGGAGTTTATTGACTTGTTTGTCACAGCCTGGGAGCAATTGCTGCAGTGCTCCGGATCCGGTGCTCAGAAAATGCTGTTTATGAAGATCAGGGCTCCTTGTGCTCCCCTTGGCCAGCTGCCCCCACCCATCAGGAGAAAACCTCAGGGGCACAGGGGGTTGTGCATGGGATTTGAGAAGATCCAGGAGGATCATCACCAACATCATCCTCAATGCCAGCCTCTTCGTTGGGAGGGATTGGGTCAATAGTGCCTCTTTTCAGCAAGCCTGTTAGGAAGGAAGGTTTGCACACAAATAATTAATAAGTTGTGCTGGTTGGCAGCTCTAGAAGCTATCTAGAAGCCCTGTCTCCTCTCAGTGGCACTTTGGCATTTTGGGGTGATGGGGACCCTTGCTGAGGGAGCTGGAAGGCATGTGTTCCTGCTACAGAGGTGAAGGAACCTTCCTAGAAGCTGCTCTGCATGCCTGACCATGGCCGCTGTGCATTGAGCAGACCATGAGGCAGAAACTGCCTTCTGAGTGGCTTATCTGTGGTCCCACATGGCTTTCTCACTTCCTAAGGATGGAGACCTTTCCTTCATGTAGAGTTTCAGCCCTCAAGCCATCCAGCTGGATGGAGCCTTTCACCCAAGCTCCAAGGAAACCCAGATCCAGGTGCAGGCATGGCACATTCTCCACAGCATACGGACCCCTCTGGTCCAAACCTCTCTGCAGGCTCTGTATAGAACTGGTTATCATGCTGGTGACCAGATGTGTCAGAGCATGGACCTGCCAGACCTGGTTAGCTCTGGG